CTCCTCCACCTCCACCAAGTGAGTGCCAGATCTGTGAGCACATTATCGGTCAAGCTCGACATCACTTCAACAACAATGTAACTAACGAGCAGGCACTTCAAGCCGAGGTAAAGTAGATAGTGTATAATAAAAATCAAAATGATAGTAACTTACATCGGTCGATTAATTTTCAAAGTGTTACGGGAGACCAAAACAAAACATCTCCCATTTTGCATAATTTTTGATTTCTCATAATTTGTTCAGAACTCAATCATTCTTTCCTACACGCTCTTGCCATACTATTTGTATAGAAGCATTTTTCCATAAATGTTTTCCCACGCTTTCGTGGAAGCATCGTCGTATTAGTCGAAAATACTAATTCGCATCCTTTTATTCTAAGCCTAGTTACAATGTACAAAATATGTATAAAGTCTTCAATTATGTAATTTTTTATTGGGAGCATTTCTGGCTTTTACATAATTACAACAATCAAAAGACAAAAATTACTTATTTTCTAATAGTGAACAGTCGTATGCTATAACGCAACATTGTATAGAGAATAGGATCTTGAAATTAGTATTGATTATTGATTTGGTAACGACGCACTAGACAAATTTTGTTGAAAACGCTTCTAAACAATTATTGCTCATCGCTTGCAAATAGATACTTTACCTTTGACAACATATCGAAATGCTGGGATACATACGTTGATACAGAGCTGCCGCAGCTTTACTTACGGTAGGTGCTCATGTCTGCAGTGAACATAATGCTGGAAGATATGTTATGTTTAGTTGATGTCTATAAAAATAGATTGCCTTACGCACATAAGCGAAGCAATATTTCAATTTGGAACGTTGATACAATGCTTTAAGCACAAATCCACATTGTACATATCTAATGTACCGATAGAGAAGTTTTCTAGCAAGCATACGTTTGATCCAAAACTGGGACGTAGAGATATTTCAAATTAAAGGAATTAGTTTTCTGTGCCCTAAAATTTCCATTCCTTTTCAACAAGACTACCCTAGTTGTTAGATAGAAAAGTTCTCTTTTCTCAGCTCCTCAAGGATTGCAAGCAGATGCCACCAAACGAGCCAGCATCAGCCACTCAGACTTGCATCAATATGGTTAACAACAACATTGACACAATCTACCGCGTGAGTCACTCTTGCAATTTATCTATTAGGGATAGTTGACCCTAAAAACAATTTTGGACATGAAAAATATTGACTTTAGACTTACAGCTCTCATTAGGCCTTTTTTAATCAATTTACTGGTCGAGAATACTAAAGCCAATTACACTAAGAAACAGCAAAATTCCTTCTTTTCAGGATATTCAAGCCGGCGATCGTGACAGCCAAACTTGCTCTGATATCGGAGCTTGTACTGGCGTTCCAACTTTCCAGACTCGTCCACCCAGACCAACGAGAATGGCCCGCAAGTAGAGCCATCTTTATGAGATTCCTTTATTTCTCAATAGATTCGAGATTTTTATGTAAATAAATTTTTCAGAAATGGTTTTTCTAATGAAGCACGAATTTATTCAATATTCTTTCAATAATAGCAGATACTTGTATCAGATTATTTCGTGCTGAGGAGTCGATATTCGTTGTTCTTCGTTAAAATTACAATAATATGTTTTTCTTCTTAATTATGAGCAACTTTAACACTAAGCTTCCCTAAAAAAAACAATTAAAAGAACCTTCTAGGAATTTAAGCTAAAATTCGAAAAAATGGGCTCACGGCAAGCATCATTTCCTGCAACTGCTTTGGGTGGCTCGTCTGCTTCCTGCTTAGTTTCATTCCTTGGCTTTTGAAGCTTCTGTAGCATTCGCTCAGGTGAAATTTGATCATCTTGTTCTAGTTTCTGGGTCAATTCCGGCTTCCGATCATCCACATCTTCTCCTGGATTCTGGGTTATTTCTGGCTTGACGTCATTCTGATCGGCTAAGAGTTTCTGATCTACAACCGTCTTTGGCCCTTTCTTAATAACAGGCGTTGAAGACCCAGCGCTACTTTTCTCAGCCATTATCTCCTTGTTTGAAGATTTTTTCAATGGTTTCTGATTACCCTTCTTAACTACTGGTTTAGCATCAGCCTTTGCTTGATCAGCTGTCGACTTCTCCTCAATAGGCTTACTCTTCTTCTGCACGGTATCCCCATCCTTTTTCTTAGTAGTGGTATCATCCACGGTTTCATAGGTCTTTGTTGATGAATATCCCGTGGTTTCGGATGATGGTCGATCCGTATCAGCAAGTGCTGAAAACATTATGGTCTGAATAGAATCGAATTTTTAAAATTATAAGCCACTAACTGTCATAAATCCTAGTACGTCGACGCCTTCTCTTTCCGTCTTTGTCAACTTCAGCAACAGCTGGTTTCATTGGTGCATCTACCACCTCATACTCTGTGTACTGCTCCTCCTAATGTAATCTTAGCATTTTTTTTCTAACTTTCCGATTTACAAACCGACTTATGGATTTTTATGTAGAATTCGGTAAGCTACCTCTACATCAGGAATTTTCGCTGGCACTAGTGTTGACGCTTTTTGAGGTTTGTTCATTGATTGCTTAAGTGGTATAGATGCAGATGGTTTTCTTCTTAACCGTTCTTTTTCTTTGCAATTCTAAATCATAAACATTCGAATGAGATGACTAAACCGAAATTCGGAAAATTACAAGACTTCCATTAGAACTATATTTTTTTAAAAACTGCCCAATTTTTTAATGCCACTAAATTTCTAACTTTCTATTCCAAATTCCGCCCCTTGTTGTACTATCTTTCGGGTGTGAAACTGTG